GGATAAGCAAGTTCTTCCCATTTTTAAAATTTTGAAAATATTTGAGTCATTTTTCCCGGATTCCCGGCATTTTAATGGTCGCATCAGAATAAATGCCGAATATTATCGAGAAAATATTCTGGAGGGTGTATTAAAGCCTTGGTCATGCAAACATTTCAGCCGCAGACATTGGACATTCCAACAGGGCTCAGCACCATCGCACTCAGCACGCGCCAACCAAGAATGGTTACAAAAAAAGGTTCCTCACTTCATTTCCAGATCTTCGGATACCAATCTGACTATTATGTCTGGGATATTTTGGAAAGCAAGGTTGGCACTAAAAAATACCCAAGTGTCGGTCACCTCAAGCAAGAGCTTCGGCGGGAATGGACCAAAATACCGCAGAGCAACATTCGGGCAGCGTGTGACGGTTTCATTGGCCGTTTGAAGGCCATAATTCGTGCCAAAGGTGACCAATTCGAACAAATCCAAACTTATTAAGAAATTTGATGCTAATTCCGACATTTTTTTTTTCATTCATTGAAATTTAAAAAAAGAAATGAAAAAATTATCTCACCCTTTATATATGGGAGCTCTAGCTGAACCGATTTTCTCCAAACTTGATGTGCTTGCTTCTAGACTGAATTCGGTCGGATATGCCAACATTCAGGTCACATGGACCGATATTGGCACAATTAACCTGCAATATGTGGGGGCTATATCCAAATCTGAACCGATCTTGATAAAATTTGGCAGAGATATTTCTGGGCTGTATCTTATATCTGATACCTGATATCATTCTTATGGGGGCATATTACGAATTTCGGATGAAAAACATATATGAGAGCTATAGCTATATCTGAACCGATTTTCACCAAATTTGATGTACTTGCTTCGAGACGGAGTTAGGTCGGATGTGGCAAAATTCAGTCAAATTGGGTTAATATTAGCCATTTGGTGCACAATAAATCTGAAATCGGATAAGGATATATATGATAGCTCTATCCAAATCTGAATAGAGCTTGACAAAATTTTAAGCTCTAGTTTCAGATCTTTGTCCGATATCTGGTACCAAAGATCTATGATGTGGAATGCATATTACGCATGTGAGGGGCTTAAAACCCCACATAGTATGAAACATATATGTGGGACCAATAGCTACATATTAACCGGTTTTCTCCAAATTTAATGTATTTGCTTCTAGACTGAATTTCGACGAATGGGTAAAAATTCAGGTCATTTGGACTGATATTGGCCATTTGTTGCACAATGAACCCGAAATTGTTTGAAGATGCATATGGAAGCTATATCTAAATTTAAACCGATTGTCACAAATTTCAATAGGGTTCATCCTTGGGCCAATCAACTAGTATTTGAAAAATTTAATTTCATTCGGATAATAAATGCGACCTGCATTTTGTTCACAAAAATAAATGGAAAAAAATTCTAAAATACCCCAAACTTATTTTTTAATTTGTTCTGAAACATCTAACATATGATATAGACCAGTAAGGAAAGCTCAAAAGTCGGGCGGGGCCGACTATATGATACCCTACACCACTATGCATATTTAGTAGAGCTCTCGTAAAAAGGTTTATACAGAGCATTTCAGAGCTCTATGGGATATTTGGTACAAAATCAAAATCTATCTAATTCTATCGTGCATTTTACGAACTATAGCTATATCGGAACTGATTTTCACCATGTTTGATGTATTTGATTCTAGGCTGAATTCGGTCAGATGTGCCAAAACCCAGGACATTTGGGCTGATATTGGACATTTGGTGCGTAATCAACACGAAATTGGATGAAGATATATATAGGAGGTGTATCCAAATCTGAACCGATATTTGTAAAACTGAAAAAGAAGATATTTCTTGGCTGCATCTGATACCAAATATTATTCTTGTATCGTACATTTTTCGAATTTGAGGGACTTAAAGTACAAATCGGATGAAAGGTATATATAGGAGCTATAGCTGTATCCGACCGATTTTCACTAAATTTGATGTACTTGCTTCTAGACTACCAAAAGTCAGGTCATTTGAGCCGATATTAGCCATTTGCTGCACATTTAATCCGAAATCGGATGAAGATATATTTGGGAGCTATAGCTATATCTGAAACGACTTTTACTAAAATTGGTGTCCTTGCTTCTAGGCTGAATTTGGCCAGATATGCCAAAATTCATGCCATTTCGGTTGATATTGGCCATTTGTTGCACAATTAACACGAAATCGGATGAAGATACATATGGGTGCTATATCCAAATCTGAACAGATTTTGATAAAATTAAAATCGACTATTTTTGGGTTTTATCTGAAATCTGGTACCAAATATCATTCCTGTGAAGAGTATATTACGAATGTAAGGGACTTAAAGAGCAATTCGGATGAAACATATATATGGGAGCTAGAGCTATATCTGAACCGATTTTTACTAAAATGTGTGTACTTGCTTATAGGCTGGTTTCGGTCGGATTTGCCAAAATTCATGCCATTTGGGCTGATATTGGCCATTTGGTGGTCAATTAACCCGAAATCGGATGAAGATATATATGGGAGCTATATCCAAATCTGAACCGATTTCGATAAAATTTAAAACAGCTATTTCTGTGCTCCATCTAATACCTGGTACCAAATATCACGGTTGTGGAGTGCATAGTAGGAATGTGAGGGACTTAAAGATCAAATCGGATGAAAGATATATATGGGAGCTATAGCTATATCTGAACCGATTTGATATACTTGCTTCTAGGCCGAACTCGGTTGGGTGTGCCAAAATTCAGGTAATTTGGACTGACAGTGGACATTTGGTGCACATTTAACCCGAAATCGGATGAAGATATATATGGGAGCTATATCTAAATTTGATCCGATTCTCACCAATTTCAATAGGGTTCGTCCTTGGGCCAAAAAAATATTGTTTGGAAAATTTCATCTCAATCGGATAATAAATGCGACCTGCATTTTGTTCACAAGAATACATGGACAGACGGACGGACGGACAGACGGACTGACATGCACAAATCGACTCAGAAAGTGATTCTATGAAGGTTCTCAAAAGTCTATCTCGTTTCCTTCTCCATGTTACAAACAAATGCACAAAGACATAATACCCTTACCACTATGTGGTGTAGGGTATAATAAGTTACGTTTGTTTTAAATACATAAAATTTGCATCGAATGAATCTGAAATCATTATCATAATTTTTTTCTCTTTTCGATCAGTGAATATTTTATTCACAATTTTATTTTTTATTCATTCAATTTTATGGGCGATTTTCATATCGACGTGTTTTTTAAGTCCATTATAAAATACTAATTTTCTGGGAATCATTTCTCTGTCCATAAAGATGATATGCAAATTATTTGCATAGGTTAAAAATTCCCCCTATGTTGTATTCATTTATGGAAATGAAAGCAGAGGTGAATGATCGATTTACGTTCCAGACATGGATTAGACGAAGCGAAAAGCGAAGAAAAAAGAAGTTGAATGTGAAATTTTTAACATTTAAATTTGGACATGTTTTTATTTATGCAAATGTCAAAAGATCAGTAAGTGATGGACTCTTTGGCGCCAAGACGAAAGGTCTAAAGCTGAAGTTGCGGCGGTTGAAATATTGAAACTATTACATAACGGTGCTACATTGCCAACAAATATTGTTGGCGGAGAGTTTCTTCCAGTTCTGAACTTTATATATAAAATAAACGTGTATTTGTAAAATGAGAAAGAATACTACAAATGGGGCTATAGCGAAATGTAAAAATAATAACCGGATAATCTCGCATGTAAAATTATATAAGTCTGGGATGGAAATAAAAGGGGAAATATTAGCAAATGTAAATTTTAAAAAATACAAACAAATAGACATAACAGCAAATGTCAGCCGAAATATGATAAGATTTTGGTGTATACGACAAAATCGGTTCAGCTAAAATACTCATTACAAATTGCCCTACCAGTTCATAATTAAACGAGAGCATGCCATACGAAATAATTAATTATACCCTCAGCCATATGACCAGAGAGGGTATATATAATTGTAATAATAATTCTCGAAGGGAGTATCCGATTTGGTCCAAACTTGGTAATATTTTTGTCAAATTTAGATCGAATCCGGAGATGGACAATAGTGGCCTACTCCTTCTGGTACCTCCGCCACAAATTGTCGAAATTTTCAAAATATATATTTTCTGCACAGAAAGAAAAACGATAATTCGATTTTATCCCAACTTTGCAAATCCTAATGATCAGTGCTAGGTCAGGTGTGAAAATGGACAATATCGGTCCACTCTATCAGTACCTCCCCCACAAAGAGTCGAAAGTTTGGGTAATTACGACTCTTATAAAATGTGATGTAAAAGTCCGATTGTCTTCAAATTTCACACATCCCAATATTTATATTAACCCACGGTCTGGTGTTAAGATGGAGTATGTCGGTTCACTTCTTCTGGTACCTCCCCCACAAAACGTCAAAATTTGCAAAATATATATTTTTGGCACAGAAAGAGAAAGGATAATCCGATTTTGCTCTGACTTTTGACCTCTCTGAGTTTTGACCTGGAAGACCCGCTAAAAACATTATTAAAAAATCCCCGATTTATAAAGCCTGCAAGTCTATCAAGTCTAAAATTTTATATTTTCGAGATCGATTCAGGTTAAGATACAGCTCGTATATACATATATGTATTATCCTCTAATTTGAGGAAACTTATGCATCACCCATACTATGTTTGTCTATATATATATATATATATTTTTTTTTATAAATTCTAGATCATATCTTTTAGTTCCGAATTGAAAATTTCTTTCAAGAATACAGCAAATTCATTTAGATATATCTAAATCTCCAATAGCAATATTCCATTAGATTTTCTATTTGAGTCCTCTCAAGGTCACAATATGCACTTCATGATATGCGGTACGAGATTGTTCATACTGCAAAAAAATACATCCAATTGTTTTTAAATTTTTCAAGAAAATTCCAAAAAAGATTTCTTTCAAATTATTATTTTCTGTTTTATTTAGAATTATAATATCAACAAATCAACTAAATGCATATTCCTTAATCTGACGCTTAGGCACGGTGTCTGTAGACAACACGGCGGACAGTCTTGTAACGGTAGCCATCGACGGGAGTTTGTTCAACTTCTTCGACAGGGTTGACGGGGGCAGGGGGAATGTAGGTGTTGGTGGGTTGAACAACGGGAGCAACTGGAGCTGGTTCGGGGGCAACATGAACGGGTTGAGGGGCAACTTTAACTGGTTTAGGGGCAACAGGTGCTGGTGGGACATAGGTGTTGACAGGGGCAACTGGAGCTGGAGCGGGGGCAACATGAACTGGTTTAGGGGCAACAGGAACTGGTTTAGGGGCAACCTTAACTGGTTTAGGGGCAACGTACACTGGAGCTGGGGCTGGTGCGGGGGCTACTGGTGCAGGGGGGATATAAGTCTTGACAGGTTGAACTGGAGCTGGGGCAGGTGCTGGGGCTGGGGCAGCTGGCTGTTCATAGTTGTATCCCAATTCAGAGACATCAGCATAGGCGCAAGCCACAAAAGCCAAAGCGACAATAAGGAATTTCTGTAAAGGAGATTTTTATTTTTATTATTTTTTATTTAGTTTTTGTTTTTTTGATTTATTTATTTAAAATTTTTAATAAAATTCCCATTATATCCCATTGTTTATGTGACTTACCATTTTGTTGGGATTGTGTGTTTTCTTGTGAAGTCAAATGCTAGACTGTGCTCTATCCCCTCAAATCGCTGGGTTTTTATAGGCAAATCAAGGGAATGTTATTTTTAAGTTCTTGTTGTTTTTCCATTTTGGGGATTTTTTTTATTTCATTTGTTTTTTTTTTTTCTTTTTTTTTTGTTCCTAAGCCTACCTCTTCTTCGGGTTCTTCTTTTGTTATGCCATGAATATTTTAGCTTAGAATCCCACATATTAACCAGTTTTTTTTCTTATTAAAGGCTTTGATAATGATTTACATTTTATTTTTGAGCCACGCAGAAAAAGAGGCTCTGGAGTAGAATTTTAACAATCTACCGCAAATCAGTTCATTGCTAGCTTTTGTAGACAACAATTGAGCGGAGATAAGTTATGGCATTGAAAAAGAAAATTTCACTGTTTCACAAACAAAAAAAAAAATATTACAGGAAAAATCGGTTAAATTATGAAAGTTTTTTGAAGATTAGATCGGAACATAAACTAAAGGGAGGAAGTTAATATCACCCTCTGTAACTTTTTTTTGAAATTTGCGGATTAAAATTTCTTGGAATCTGGAAATTTTAGCTGTATAGTGCCTTCGGCAGTTTTATTAACAACAATACGAAGATTATTTTTGTCGAAAATTTTAACACTCAAGCTTGTCATCAAAGGCTCTTTTTGATCCTATTTTAAAAAATATGGTTCAAAAAAAAATATTCTACAAAATTATTTGCCATAAAGTTCCACTATAGGTATCAGAATACATCAAAAGTCTAAATCTTAGCAAAACAGAAATGTATAAAAACTCAAAAAAGTAAGGCAAGGTCAAAAAGCAAAACAACAAACAAACAAACACCAAGTCGGATGAAATATATAAATGACAGCTATAACTATATCTGAACCGATTTTCACCAAATTTGATGTACCAGTCCTAGGATGAATTCAGTCGGAACTTGCAAAACTTAGCCAATTTGGGCCGATATTAGCCATTTGGTGCACAATAAACCTGATGTCGCATAAAAACATATATATGGGAGCTATATCCTAATCTGATCCGATCGGATGAAGCATATATATATATATATGGGAGATATAGCTATATCAGAACCGATTTTCTCCAAATTTGATGCACTTGCTTCTAGACTAAATTCGGTCGGATGTGCCAGTCATTTGGATTGATATTGACCATTTGGGGCACAATTAACCCGAAATCGGTTGAAGATATATATGGGAGCTATATCTAAATTCTCACCAATTTCAAAAGGGTTCGTTCTTGGGCCAAACAAATATTGTCTGGAAAATTTCATCTCAGTCGGATACCTGTGTAAATACCTTTTTCTGCATTACCAGGAGGTTGGAGTGATATCTAACAATTTAAGAAGTATCAGTCGGTTTTGCTTACAGATATATACCCTCAACCAATGTTCGATTTTTAAAACGCATAGCCACATGGCTACAGAGGGTACATATCCTACGGCCAAAACGTGCCTAAGCGAAATAACGATTTTAGACCCAAGGTCTCTATGGACCAAATTTGGAGTCGACCTTGAGATGTCCATCCATCTGTCAGTTTGGCTGGCTAGTGTGCACGATAACTCTCAAAGGGAGTCCCCGAGTTGGTTCAAATATGGTACATCGTAATATTATAATCAAACTTTGATCGAGTTTGGAGGTGGGCAATATTAGTCCACTCCTTCTGGTAACTCCCCAAAAAAGGTCAAAATTTTAAAAAGAAAAATATTTTAATGCACAAATTAGCAAATCCTAATATTTGTGCTAGGTCAGGTGCGAAAATGGACAATATTGGTAAACTCCATCAAGTACCTCCCCCACAAAGGGTCAACATTTTGAATAATTATAATTCTTATAAAATGTGATGTAACAGTCCGATTGTCTTCAAATTACACACATCACAATATTTTTATTAAAAAAAGATCTGGTATGAAGATCGAATATAGCCGTTCACTCCTTCTGATACCTACTCCACAAAGTAGGGTCAAAGTTTTGAATATCCATGAAGCTCATAACACGCGAAATTAACGTAAGCTTTAATTCAGACTTGGTACATCTCAATATTTCCATCAACAGAAGATCTGTTATAAATATGGTAGAGATCAGACCATTTCTTCTGGTACCTCCCCCACATAGGGATAAAGATTTTGAACAACAAAACGCTAAAAGAAAGCGAAATTTGCATCCAACTCTCTTCAAATTTCACACAGACAAACATTTTTACTAACACAAGATCTGTTGTGAAGATGATATATATCTGCGAACCCCTTCTGGTACCTAACCCACAAAAGGTCACATTTTTCAATACTTTTATTTGTCATAACTTGCGAAACAAGTATGTGATCCCTGGCAACTTGCTTTATCTAAATATTGCTCTCAACCAGAAACCTGAGATGAATATTGCATGTAGCGGAATTTATGATTTCGTATGAAATTCGATATAAATGTTTGATGTTCTTGAAATTTTACCCATACCTTTATTTTTTCTGTATTATGTGAAGAATGAAAATGGAATGCTTCGGTGGACTATATATGGTACCTTAAACACACTTTAACATTTTATAAAAATTATCACATATCTCATATCAAGTAAAATAAATAACCTATATAGTCCAAATTCGCAATATTTATGTCATCTTTATTTTGGAATGGCCCATTCCTTCGGAACCTACTACATAGAGGGTCAGAAGTCAAAATATATTTAAATAATCGAACATTGGTTTACATCTGTCGGCAAAACCGAGTCATACTTTTTAACCTGTTTTTTTTTATGATAGCCCCTATTTACAATCTACCACCAACAAAAAAGGGTAGTTTGTTGACATTACATTGCGATGGGTTATTAGGCTTCCGGAATTTTTGTATTTTTTTTTTTTTATTAGTGGTAGGTTATTACAAAATTTTGTACCATGGTTTCTTTTGTCTGCATGGCTCAAAGAATGAAATGCCAATAAAATTTAAAAAAATATGATGGGTGCTAACAAAAGAATTTGTTAATTTCTTAAATTCTAAGCTAATATATTCACGTCGCAATGAAGAAGAACAAGAGAAAAGAAATGAGAAAGAACAAAACTCCAAATAAGCCAAGCAACAACAACAGCAACATTCTGACTTTTTATACTTGCGTATAAAAAGTCAGTGCTAAGGTCGGGAGGAGCACAGTCTGACATTTGACTTCAAGACCAAAAAAACAAATCCCAACAAAATGGTAAGACATAAATTCATAAAAAATGAAATTATACTAATAAAATCTCCTCTAAAAAATTTACAGAAATTCCTCATTGTGGCCTTGGCTTTTGTGGCTTGCGCCTATGCTGATGTCTCGGAATTGGGTTACAACTACGAGAAACCAGCCCCTGCCCCAGCTCCAGTTCAACCTGTCAAAACTTATATTCCCCCAGCACCTGTAGTCCCAGCTCCAGCTCCCGTTCAACCTGCCAAGACCTATATTCCTCCTGCACCAGTTGCCCCTGCCCCAGCCCCAGCTCCAGTTGCCCCTGCCCCAGCTCCAGTTGCCCCTGTCAACACTTATATCCCACCAGCACCTGTTGCCCCCAAACCAGTTAAGGTTGCCCCTCAACCAGTGCCAGCCCCAGCTCCAGTCGCCCCTGTCAACACATATATTCCACCTGCACCTGTTGCCCCTGTTGTTCAACCAACCAACACCTACATTCCCCCTGCCCCCGTCAATCCCGTTGAACAAATTGAAGAAACTCCCGCTGATGGCTACCATTACAATATTGTCCGCTATGTTGTCTACAGACACCGTGTCTAAGCGTCAGATAGAGGAATATGCGTTTCGTTGATTTGTTAAGTGTTATAAATTTAATTTAATAAAAAAAAAAGTATTGAAAAAATAATATGTTGATGTAGTACGAGGGTTTTGATGTACTCAAACTTACGATGCAATCATATTCAAATTAACTTAATTTGGAAACCGTAAGTAAGTATATCAAGCTCTGAATCGATTTTTAACTAATTTGATGGAGTTTTTGATGATGCATGATGTGACGTCTATAAGAATTATATTAAAAAAATATTTATTGGAGCAATAGATATACCGGACCGAGTTTCACCAACTAAAAAAATCTGTTGAATATCTATCCAAAAAAATCTATTCGATTTGGGCTGATATTAAATTTATGTTGAGCAAAAACCATAAAAACGGATGAAGATCTCGATAAAAGTTGGCAGAGGTATTTTTGAACTAAATTATTTTTGAACTATAAATTATGTGGTACCAAATATCATTCGTGTGGAGTGTATATTACACATGTGAGAGATTCAAATTCTTACATATCTACGGGAGCTATGGCTATATCTGAAGCGATTTTCAGCAAAAGTTGAAGCTCCTGCTGTTATGCTGAATTCTGTCGGAAGTGTCAAAATTCAGGCTATTTGATATTAGACATTTGGTGCACAATAAACCTGAAATCGGTTGAAGATATATATGGGAGCTTCAGCAATATCTTAACTGATTTTCTCTAAATCTGAAGTTCTTGTTTCTAGATTGAAATCCTTCGGAAATGCCAAAATTCCAGTCATTTGGACGTATATTGGCCATTTAGTGCACAATATACCTTAGATCTTATAAAGATATATATGTGGCCTATATCCAAATCTGATTCGATCTCAATAAAATTTGACAGAGGTATTTTTGAGCTCCATAAGTTATCTGGTACCAAATATTATTCTTGTGGAGTGCATACTACGCATGTGAGGGACTTAAAACCCCAAAATCGGATGAAACATATATATGAGAGCTATAGCAATATTTGAACCGATTTTCACGAAATGGGATATACTAGCTTCTGAGGCTGAATTCGGTCGGAATATTAAGTAGGTGGCGAAAGTTATATCCATATCTGAGCCTATAGCGATAAAATTTAGCAAAGGTGTTTCTGAGCTCTATTGGATATCTGATTCCAAATATCATTGTTATAGATTGCATATTGCGAAAGCAAAGGAATTAAACTCCAAGTCAGCTATATTATATACAAATCTGAACCGATCTTAATTTGACAAAGGTATTTCTGGGCTGTATGTGATATATGGTACCAAATATTATTCTTATGCAGGGCTACTACGCATGTGAGGTACAGACGGACTGATACGCAATTTTATCTGATATCATAAATTCCATATTCATCTCTGGGTTTTAGTTGAGAGAAATATTTAGATATATATATTTATATATAGTTGTAAAAAATATCTGACTTTTTTCGCAAGTTATGGCAGACAAAATTATAAATCACTCTTTTGGGTGATGTACTAGAAGGGGTTCGCAGATATATAAATATCATTTTTACAACAGATCTTGTGTTAGCAAAAATGTTTGTATGTGTGAAATTTGAAGAGAGAAAACTGATCTTCACAGCAGATCTTATGTTAGGAGAAATAATGGGATGTGTGAAATATGAAGAGAACCGGATGCTTATTTTGGATTTTATAATCGTTTTGGTTTTTTAAAACTTTAACCCTTTATGGGAGAGGTATCAGAAGGAGTGGACCGATATATTACATCTTCACACCAGACATTGGTTTAATAAAAATATTGTGATTTCTGTAAATTGAAGACAATCGGACTCTTATATAACATTTTATAAGAATTATCAATTTTCGCACTTGACCCAGCACTGATGCAAATATTAGGATCTGCAAATTTGGGACAATATTGGATTACCCTTTTTCTTTCTGTACATTTTTTTTTTTTTTTTTTTTTTGTAAATTTCGACAATTTTTTGGGGAGGTACAGATAATTTCCATTTTCGTATTCGATTTTAATTTGATAATAATATTAGGATACTCCCTTCGACACTTATCGTGCACACCAACCAGCCAGACAGAAAGACGGACGGACACCCGTAGATCGACTCCAAATATCCCAAAACGGATTTGGTCCACAGAGACCTGTGGTCTAAAACCTTTATTTCGATGAGGTATGTTTTGGCCGTATCAAATGATATATACCCTCTGTGGCTGTGGGTATACAAATGTCGCTCAAAAGACTTTGAGTATTGTTCTCAAAATGAGGACAACACCAACAGGGGCATTAGAGACAACTCTATTTGTGCACCCAATATAAATTCAGATACGGTATGAAGCGGCCTTAAGGCTCAGGGCGACTGATGAGTGGGTAAACAACGGCCACGCTACATACCATCAAACAATTTTACAGGTAAAAAGGGAGAATCTAACTAACCTAACCTAACCTAACTGTTCTCAAAAACAAGAAATAATTATTCTTATGCTTTCCTTGTCCTTGTTCACCCGATCCTTGCTATAGAAATTCGCAATCATTTGTACAACAAATTTATCTTGGCATGTTGAGCAAATAAATATCTGTTTTTTTATTTAGTTCAACCATCCAAGAGTTATATTCCCCCTGCACCAGTAGCCCCAGCCCCAGCTCCAGTTGCTCAACCCACCAACACCTATGTTCCACCAGCACCAGTTGCCCCAGCACCAGTTTCTCAACCCACCAACACCTATGTTCCACCAGCTCCTGTTGCCCCCGCCCCAGCTCCAGTTGCTCAACCCACCAACACTTATGTCCCACCTGCACCTGTTGCCCCCGCCCCAGCTCCAGTTTCTCAACCCACCAACACCTACATTCCACCTGCACCCGTCTCCCCTGTTGAAGAAGTTGAACAAACTCCCGCCGATGGCTACCGTTACAAGACTGTCCGCCGTGTTGTCTACAGACACCGTGCCTAAGCGTCAATTATGCATTCCGTTGATTTGTTAATGTTATAATTTGAAATAAAAAAAATTAAAACAAAAATTCTATAAAAAACTTTCATTATATGTATATTATTAGAACGATAAAAGAATTAACAGCCATGTTAAATTCAGTAAATTTGTTTAATATCCGATTTCTTAAAACTTGCACTCACACCGAACGAGGATTCAGAAAATGATTTTTCAGGCCAACACTCCCTTGTTTGTCCCCACTGATTTCTAAAATATTTATGGAATTAGATGGCAAACAAATTCAAACAAAGGTAGCCCAGCAATTATTTTGAAAAAAAAAAATTCTTAAAATATTCTCGCGATAATTAGTCCAGTTTTATTTAATTTATGGTTGCTTTTTTATGAAATCGTTAGACAAACTAGTATAGTATTTACAAGAGATTGGCAATTTCATTTTCCCTCTGGTACTTTAATAAAACCCTTATTCTACTACAACTTTTAAGTTCCGCACATTAAAGGACTTCTCTTCCAAAATAGTCCTGACGCATATTTTTATGTTTTTTAACACTTTTCAAATTATTTAGTCATCTAAATGGTCATCTGTTCATAAAAATTACAGTATTTTGGCCAGGAAAAACGATGCCGAATCACTACGCGATTTCAAACTCGTTAACATATTAGCACTCTGAATTTACTACACATTAAAAATTATTTACAACAAATGCCAAGCAGTGATTTCTATTTCCGTTCAAACCATCGATCGCTTGAAGGTGGAACAGCTGATCAAGTTATTATTTAATTTACGCTCTGCGGCTTCTTCTTCTTCTTTTCTGCTACGCTCAAAAGAATGGACTAAACATCAATTTAATTATGTTTGTTTAAAGAACCGGTTAATTTGTTGTATTGTTTTATTTGGATATGTTTGTCACAACAACACAAGAAGATGATGGATGATGTGAAAAGAACCGCCTAAAAAATCCAAACAAACAAATTCTTTTTGATTTGCCTATAAAAACTTGGTGATTGAACAGGGAAGAGCACAGTCGGACATTTGACTTCGATACAACTAAACTAATCTCAAACAAAATGGTAAGGATTATAAATGGCTGGAGATAATGGATATTTTATTAATGAAAGCTTTTTTGAAATTTACAGAAATTCCTTATTGTCGCTTTGGCTTTTGTGGCTTGCGCCTATGCTGATGTCTCTGAATTGGGTTACAACTATGAGCAGCCTGCACCTGCCCCAGCACCAGCTCCAGTTCAACCATCTAAGAGTTATATTCCCCCTGCACCAGTAGCCCCAGCACCAGCTCCAGTTGCTCAGCCCACCAACACCTATGTTCCACCAGCACCAGTTGCCCCCGCCCCAGCTCCAGTTGCTCAACCCACCAACACCTATGTTCCACCAGCACCTGTTGCCCCCGCACCAGCTCCAGTTGCTCAACCCACCAACACCTATGTCCCACCTGCACCTGTTGCTCCCGCACCAGCTCCCGTTGCTCAACCCACCAACACCTACATTCCCCCTGCCCCAGTCTCCCCTGTTGAAGAAGTTGAACAAACTCCCGCCGACGGCTACCGTTACAAGACTGTCCGCCGTGTTGTCTACAGACACCGTGCCTAAGCGTCGAATTAAGGAATATGCATTTAGTTGATTTGTTAATGTTATGATTTGAAATAAAACAGAAATTTAAAAACAAAAAATCTGTAAAAATCTTTCATTACAAAGTAATAGGTTTACCAAGCAATTTATGGCAACTGTAACTACTTACAAATCTACCTACTAATCCAATACATATTTTTACAAAGCCATGGTGTCCAAAAGATGTAGTTTTTTTATCCACTCCAAGTTGTCAAGTAGGTAGATGAAGAATTTCTGTTAATTTAAAAATTAATGTTCTATTTTACCAGAATCCATTTTATGCCATCAGACATCAGGATGAACACAATGGACCAAAAGGTCTCCGAGTGGAGTGGTTGTACTTTTTACAACCACCCATCCATTAACCTAATCTAACCTAACCTACCATCACACATATAGCATTTGATACGTGCCTCATCGAAATAAAGTTTTTTTACCCTAGGTCTCTTTGGACCAAATCCGTTTCAGGGTATTTGGAGTCGACTTAGCGATATCCGTCCGTTTATCTGGCTGTTGCGCACGATATCTTTCGGAGGGAGATTCCGATTTGGTCCAAACATGGTACGTTGTAATATTATTATCAAACCAAGATCTAGTTATGTTGGACACCACAGAAGTCCGAAATTTTTTTTTTACTGCGTAAAAAGAGAAACGATAATCTGATTTTGCTCCATCTTTGCACTTAATAATATTTCCATCAGTGTTAGGTCAGGTGCAAAAAAGGAACAATATCGGCCCACTCCATCAAGTACCTCCCCCACAAAGTGTCAATATTTTGAATAATTATAAAATGTGATGTAAGAGTCCGATTGTCTTGAAATTCAACACATCTCAATATTTTTATTAACTCAAGGTCTGGTGCTAAGATGGAATATATCAGTCTACTCCTTCTGGTACCTTCCCCACAAATAGTCAAAATTTTCAAAAAATATATTTTCTACACAGAAAGAGAAACGTTATAAAATATAAAATGTGATGTAAGATTCCGATTGTCCTCAAATTTCACACATCTTAATAATTTTATTAACCCAAGGTCTGTTGTAAAGGTGGAATACATCGGTCCACTACTTCTGGTACTTATCCCACAAAAGGTCGACATTTTCAAAAAAATAATTATTTGTGCAATTTAAGAAAAACAGACGCAGAAATAGATAATATGGGCCCCCTCCATGAAGTGCCTCCCCCACAAAGGGTCAACATTTTGAATAATTATAACTCTTATAAAATGTGATGTAAGAATCCGATTGTCTAAAAATTTTACTCATCCCAATAATTCCTTCAACACAAGATCTGTTATAAAGGTTGTAGAGATTGGACTATTTCTTCTGGTACCTCCCACACATAGGGTTCAAGATTTTGAGAAACCAAAGGCTCAAAGTAAGCCAAATAAGCATTCAACTCTCTTCAAATTTCACACACACACAAACATTTTTGCTAACACAATATCTGTTGTTAAGATGATATATAGCTGTAAACCCCTTCTGGTACCTCACCCACAAAGGTTCACAATTTTCAATACTTCTAGTCAGCGATTTTGTACAATTTGCTATGTTAATATTTCTCTCAACCAGAAACTTGGGATGAATATGGATTTTATGATGAAGTTACCAATATAGACGTATTTATTTAGGTCCGATATGAAATGAACAATATTAGCCCACTTCCATCAGAACCCACCCATAGAGGGTCAAGAGTTTGAATAATTATAACAAAAGTTAAAATACGGAAATGTCAATGAAAATCAAGGGGTTATATGGTTATATGAGGGTAATACCAAAAGGTGGACCTACAGTGAATAACTTTGTGACAACTAAAACTACAAACTGAGAATCTGAAATATAAAACTATAGCTGATTTGATTAATAAATTTGAACTTATACCTTCAAAACATCGGGAATAAGTTACTTTTTACTTTTTTACTTACTTACTTTTTTTTTTGTTTTGACTACACTAAGGGGGTTTTATGGTTATATGAGGGTAATACCAAAAGGCGGACCCACGGTGAATATCTATGTGACAAGTAAAAGTACCCTGATATATAAATATAAAATTACAGCTGATTTGATCAATAAATTTAGTCGATGCCTCCCAAATATCGGAAAACCGGAGTTACGGTTTTTTTTTTTTTTTTTTTTGGATGGCTATACCAAATAGCGGAGCTACATCAAAAAATCGATAGAAAATACTTTTTAAATTTCTATTTTATTTCAAATCATAACATTAACAAATCAACTAAAGGCATATTCCTTAATCTGACGCTTAGGCACGGTGTCTGTAGACAACACGGCGGACAGTCTTGTAACGGTAGCCATCGGCGGGAGTTTGTTCAACTTCTTCAACAGGGGAGACGGGTGCAGGGGGAATGTAGGTGTTGGTGGGTTGGGAAACTGGAGCTGGTGCGGGGGCAACGGGTGCAGGTGGGACATAGGTGTTGGTGGGTTGAGCAACTGGGGCTGGGGCGGGGGCAACAGGTGCTGGTGGGACATAGGTGTTGGTGGGTTGAGCAACTGGGACAGGTGCGGGGGCAACAGGTGCTGGTGGCACATAGGTGTTGGTGGGTTGAGCAACTGGAGCAGGAGGAATATAACTCTTCGATGGTTGAACTGGGGCAGGTGCTGGTGCGGGGGCAACAGCTGGTTGTTCATAATTGTAACCCAATTCCGAAACATCAGCATAGGCGCAAGCCACAAAAGCCAAAGCGACAATAAGGAATTTCTATAAATTTCAGAGGAAATTTCTTTAATAAAATATCCATTTTCTCCACCCATTTATAATCCTTACCATTTTGTTTGAGATTAGTTTAGTTGTTTTGAAGTCAAATGTCAGACTGTGCTCTTCCCAGGCGAATCAGCAAGTTTTTATAGGCAAATCCAAAAGAACTGTTTCTGTTATGAACTCGGATTTTTTCACGGGGCGTTATTTTTTTGTTTTTGGCTTTGTTTTCTTCATCTTCATACGTTTGTTTGTGCCGTCCGTTTCTAAACAAACAATACATCAAATTAACCAGTTCTTTTTACCAAAACGAATTATACTGATCTACCATTGTCCACTGTTTGAGCTGAGCATCAAAAAGAAGAAGAAGAAGAAGAAACCGTAGAGCGAAAATTAACTAATAACTTAAACAGATGTTCTTCCTCCAAGCGATCGATGGTTTAAACGGAAATAAAAAATCAATGCTTGGTTGTCATTATAAATCAAGTTGAAAGTGTAATAAAGAGAGGCATCCCCAGTATGGAAAGCTGTTGAATGCTCCTATGGTGTGTAGTGATCATGGTAGAAAAATACAGGTAGACGCATCAACGCGTGGGAACATTGATATGTCAAAGAATTTTAAATGTGTTTTTTTTTTTTTAAATATAAGTAGATTTTTATATGTTTTCTTATACGACGTCATTCGGAGGTTAATATAATTCGTGTTTTTCAACAATTTTTACAAATTTAAATAATTTTTCATTCAACATTTTCAATTCCAAAATTGGTTTGACAGTTCATTGTCCCAGCAGCTGTGTCGATGCGTCTTCCTATATTCTTCTACCATGGTAGTGGTTCAGAATTGTTTTTCCTTCTAAAATGTCGTTACTTTTGAAAGGAATAAAAAATGTATTCTCCTAATACTTTCTTTGTTGTTGTAAGTCAGGATCATACTTCCTGGTAAAAATTATGTAACTTTGGAATGGGTGAAAACCTTATTATTTTTGTTCTTGTGTAAGATATATAATGTGTTCCCGAACAAGCAAGAATCTACTATTTTTGCCAGTTTTTATCGATATAATATAGGGAAATCGGTTATCGTAGTAAAAATTTGTCTTGCTGTTCTAGAACAGACCAATAATTTAAACATGTAAGCCAAGGCTATAGTCGTGCGAGGCCGACCGTGTGACACCCTACAACACTACAATATGTTAGAAGCCCCCTTATGTCCAAATCCATTTTGGAAGATTTCGCTTTTGAAATTATGTAACGAAGCACTGCCCAAATATTACCCTTAGCATTTTGACTAGGGACATTTGCCCAATATTTACGCACTCCATCGTGCTTTTGGTTGTTGCGGTCCATTTTACAGCTATATACAGGGTGAGATAAAAAACTTCAACAAATTCAAACGCCATAATTTCAAAATTTTTTTTTCTAAATTTTATTGAATGAAAGAGAACAAGTAAAAAAACAGTAAGTTCGGCCGGGCCAAACTTTTAATACCCTCCACCTTAGGGTAAAGGAAACATTAGAAGAAATGTGGCAAAAACCATTAAAATGCCGAACATCGGGAGGTACCGTTATATGGGGCCTATACCAAATCGTGGACCTACACATGCAATGTTTCGCCAAAGGAGCTAGAACCCATTATGACCTACAAATACCAATTTTCAGACAAATCCGTGAAAATAATGTGGCAAAAATCATCAAATTACCGAATATCGGGAGGTACCGTTATATGGGGACTATACGAAATCGTGGACTCATACATGCAATGTTTCGCCACCGGAGCTGGAACCCATTATGACCAACAAATACCAATTTTTAGAAAAATTCGTGAAAAAAATTGGCAAAAATAATCAAAATACCGAATATCAGGAGGTATCTTTATATGGGGGCTATACCAAAACGCAGAGGGACTCGTTATGACCTACAAATACCAATTTTAAGACAAATCCGTGAAAAAATGCGGCATAAATTATCAAAATACCCAATAATACTGTTATATGCGGACTATACCAGAACGTGGACCGATATATCTCATTTTCAATACCAACCATCCTAGGCACAATAAAAATTGATCTGCTAACTTTTGGCGCTCTATGTCAAATAATGTGGGCTGTATCGTGATTTCAACAGACAGACAGACGGACGGACAGACAGACGGACGGACAGACATACGGACATCGTTAAATCGACTTAGAATTTTATGCTGTTTATATATATTTACTTTATGGGGTCTACGACGAATATTTAAGGATGTTACAAACGGTCGGTCCTCCAAGGTGGAGGGTATAAAAATGTCGGAAATAGCATCAAATTTCAGAATAAGTTTAGATTTGTTCGAATTTGTCAACTTTGGCACGAATTATGGCCTTAAAACGGCCAATGAAACCATCACACCCTGCCCGAATGTTGCTCTGCGGTATTTTGGCTCATTTCCAGCGAAGATGATCGACACTTTGGTATTTTTTAGTGTCAACCTTGCTTTCCAAAATACTCTAGACACAATAGTCCAAAGGATTGGTATTCAGAGATTTTGGTGGCCATTGTGCGCTGGAAATGAAGCGAGGATCCTCATTTTGTAACCATTCTTGGGTGGCGCGTGCTGAGTGCTATTGTCCAGTTGGAATGTCCAAAGTCTGCGGCAAAAATGTTTGCCCGCCCAAGGCTTTAATACACCCTCTTTAGCTCCTTTGAGTCTATTTTCTTTTTGCTGAGGTGTAAGTTCTTGAGTCCGAGCTCACTTTTCAATATTTGCCGGATGAAATATTGCGATATTTCCACGGCGACGCGGGGTTTTGGTCAAGTCGCATATTTACTTTTCGAACCATTTCTGCTGATGTTGCTGTTTTCTTCCGTCCACTTCCTTGACCAGTATCACGGTAAAGAGCGATGGTACGAGACACAAAAGATTTATTCACATTTAAATGCTGAAGTGCACTAACGATAGCCACTTATGGTTTTCCAGCCAAATATAAAGAAATCACACTATCACCATTGAATTCCATTACGAATACTTTGTTTTTGGAAAATTCTCACCAAAATGCTTCTGTACGCTTGCCAACAATATAAAGAGCTGTAATTGGAATAATTTTATCAGCTGTCGGATGAGTGGCTTTGAAATGACAGCAGTCTGAAATAGATTGAAGTTTTTTCATCTTACCCTGTATATGGGAGCTATATCCTTATCTGATCCGATCTCGATTAAATTTGACAGAGGTATTTTTGAGCTCCATAAGTAATTCTTGTGGAATCATATTCCGTGTATTAAACGTACCGTGTATTAAAGATATTAAGAAATCAGCTATTCTCAAAATTCCTAATATGTAAAAGTTCAGTAATATCGGGGCCATACCGATTTTGAATATTTTTGAGAGAAATTATGGTATCCACAGAGAAGAAGCAGAAATATAAAATCACTGCTGTTTTGGTTGAAAAATTAATGTTGATATCGGGGCAATGCAAAAAAAGGAGTCTTACATTGAAAAAGTTTGTCTAGGACTAAATTGGCCCCTTGGAGCCCTGATTCGATTTTAGATTACGACCAAAGCCATAGAAATATTACTAATTAGGAAGTGCCGTTATTGAAAAAGTGGGCCAACATTAAATTTTTTCTGAAAATCAGGAGGTGCGGTTATATGGGGGAAATGCCAAAAGGTTGACCTACTGTGAATATCTTTGTAATAAGTAAAACTTCACACTGAGAACCTGACATATCAAACTACAGCTGATTTGATTAATAAATTTGAGTCGATACCTTCAAAATACCGGAAATCAGGAGTTACAGTTTTGTTGAGCATTTTTGCAATAAAACAAAAAAATATTTTTTTTCAAATTTTCTTTTTTATTAAAAACTATAACACTAACAAATCAAGTAAACGCAAATTCCTTATGACGCTTAGGCACGGTGTCTGTAGACAACACGGCGGACAGTCTTGTAACGGTAGCCATCGGCGGGAGTTTGTTCAACTTCTTCGACAGGGGAGACGGGTTCAGGGGGAATGTAGGTGTTGGTGGGTTGAGCAACTGGAGCTGGTGCGGGGGCAACAGGTGCTGGTGGGACATAGGTGTTGGTGGGTTGAGCAACTGGGGCTGGGGCGGGGGCAACAGGTGCTGGTGGCACATAGGTTTTGGTGGGTTGAGCAACTGGAGCTGGTGCTGGGGCTACTGGTGCAGGGGGAATATAACTCTTCGATGGTTGAACTGGAGCAGGTGCAGGGGCAACAGCTGGTTGTTCATAATTGTAACCCAATTCCGAGACATCAGCATAGGCGCAAGCCACAAAAGCCAAAGCGACAATAAGGAATTTCTGTAAATTTCAGAGGAAAAGTCTTTAATAAAATATCCATTATCACCACCCATTTATAATCCTTACCATTTTGTTTGAGATTAGTTTAGTTGTTTTGAAGTCAAATGTCAGACTGTGCTCTTCCCAGGCGAATCAGCAAGTTTTTATAGGCAAATCAAAAAGAACCTTCTTTTTTCATTGGCCGTTTTTTTTTTTAATTTCATCTTCATAGGTAGTGCTTGTGCCGTACTTATCTTAACGAACAATACATGAAATTAACCGGTTCTTGTTACCAAATTTAGTTATGCTGATAGTATGTAGCCATTCTTTGAGCGGCGCAGCAAATATAAGAAGAAGCTGTAGAACGAAAATTAAACAATAACTTCCTCCAAGCGATCGATGGTTTGAACGGAAACAAAAAATCACTGCGTGGAATTTGTTGTTGTAATAAATGTATTTAAGGTGTAATAACGAAAGCAATACCCAGAATGCTAAGCAGTTGGAAAATCCTATGGTGTGTAATGATTCAGAAACGTGTTTCCTTGTGAAAATTCTCTACATTTTGGGGGAATGAAAAGTTTACTATCCTAAATTATTATTTTATTGATAGAAATATTTCAAACAAACAATTCCAGTTCCTATTGACGAAATAAAAATCAAACTGTAACCTTTCTTATTTTGCGATTTAAATCGGGTATTTTTTATTTTTATACCCTACAACACTATGTGTTGGGGGTATTATAAGTTTGATTGGGCCAAAAATTATGTAACACCTCGAAATATTGGTTTCCCACATAGGAAAGTATATATGGATCTTCCTATCTCGCCGAGCTGAGTCGATCTGGCTATGTATGTCCGTCCGTCCGTCTGTCCGTCTGTCCGTTGGAGATGATCGCCAAATGTTTAGAGGTTGAAATGGACCAAATACTGAAAAAATGTCGGATTTTGCAGTAGCTATACAGGTCGCAATTTGCAGTAGCTATACATTTCGCATCTAGCTAGAGTTTAGGGCGGGGAAGAAGCCTACCAATTTGGGTGGTCATCGGATAATATTTAGCGGGTAAAATAGACCATATATTTTTTGTTGAAAAAATTCAACATTTTTCATTAAACCGCGAATATTTTAAATCCCGGCGAAATCACAAAGCCATGACAAGATTACTTCTGATCTTTACATTGATGTTAACATCCAACAAAACGGATATATAGCAAAATATGTGCGATATATATGTTTATCAAAGAAGATATGCTTGAAAAATCTCTTATATGTCGAGAACGGCTGAACTGATTTCGACAGTTCTCATTAATTCAGAATGGTCTCTTGGCAGGAAAGAAAAAACGTCTAAAAAATCGCATAAAAATATCTCTCTAAAGATGAAAATATTGATTTTGTAAAATTTTCTCATATTTTTTTCAATTTTGTCATATTTTTGGCATATTTTCATTTTGAATTAAACATTTGGTAATATTTCTACAGCTAACAAAACTAAGTAGTTAGGATATCAGGATATCATATACAGATCGCATTTATGGCCCGATCCTAACGAAATTTTGCATGGGGATCAGATGAGGGTCAGAATAGAAGCCTACTCTTTTTGGAATGGACCAAAAAAACTGCAAAATTGTCTGCAGGTCGTAATTATCGCCCGATCCTCACGCACATTTGAATGGGGGTTACCGGACATTACAAAAGCCAAGCAGTTTTGGATGGCCATCCAAAAATATTCAATGTGTGAAGGAGTTTGCCAACTTTTGTAGACAAAATACGAAAATGTCCATTCCAGTGACTTTTTGGAGAATTCAAAAATACAGGAAAGACGCACTTCTGACTATTTCGTTAAGGCTGATTTAGTTGAAGAATATAGTCAAATGTCTGTATCTCATATAGATGCGTTTCAGTCAAAAACCAACAATAAATGTTATTCTTTTGCCACTTCTGAGAGATTATAGGTCTTTGGGAAATATTGGTTCCAGATCTAGGAAGACCATTTACGTGCAACATCTACCAATAAATTGGAAATGAGCAAATTAGTTTAAGTTGCTATTATTCGAAAATTGAAGAACGGAACCTGATGATTTTCTTTTATTATTTGTCACAATATCTTGTGGAATTCTTTCGAGTATCTCGCCTATATAAACTGTATCGTTTATTATAGTGTTGTAGGGTATTCAACGCTCGGCCCCGCTCGACTGTAGCCTTTGCTTACTTGTTTTTTATAAAATGTTGTAATTACAGTTACAGTTTGATTGTAGCTTTATTTCGTCAATAGGAACTGGAATTGTTTGTTTGAAATATTTCTATCAATAAAATAATAATTTAGGATAGTAAACTTCTCATTCCCACAAAATGTAGAGAATTTTCACAAGGAAAAACGGTTCTGAATCATTACACACCATAGGAATTTCTAACTGCTTAGCATTCTGGGTATTGCTTTCGTTATTACACCTTAAAAACTTTTATTACAACAACAAATTCCACGCAGTGATTTTTTATTTCCGTTCAAACCATCGATCGCTTGGAGGAAGAACAGCTGTTCATATTATTGTTTAATTTTCGTTCTAGGGCTTCTTCTGTTTGCTGCGCAGCTCAAAGAATGGCTACATACTATCAGCACAACTAAATTTGGTAAAAAGAACCGGTTAATTTCATGTATTGTTTGTTAAGATATGTACGGCACAAGCACAACCTAAGAAGATGAAATTAAAAAAAAACGGCCAATGAAAAAAGAAGGTTATTTTTGATTTGCCTATAAAAACTTGCTGATTCGCCTGGGAAGAGCACAGTCTGACATTTGACTTCAAAACAACTAAACTAATCTCAAACAAAATGGTAAGGATTATAAATGGGTGGAGATAATGGATATTTTATTAAAGACATTCCCTCTGAAATTTACAGAAATTCCTTATTGTCGCTTTGGCTTTACATTCCCCCTGCAGCCGTCTCCCCTGTTGAAGAAGTTGAACAAACTCCCGCCGATGGCTACCGTTACAAGACTGTCCGCCGTGTTGTCTACAGACACCGTGCCTAAACGTCATAAGGAATTTGCGTTTACGTGATTTGTTAGTGTTATAGTTTTTAATAAAAAAATTGAAAAAAAAAAATTTTTTTTGATTTGTTGCAAAAATGCTGAATGTAGATCCACTATATGGTAAAGTCTCCAAAAACCATTAACTCCTAATTTCCGATATTTTGAAGGCATAGACTCAAATTTATTAATCAAATCAGCTATAGTTTGATATTTCAGTGTCTCAGTGGGTAGTTTTACTTGTCACATAGATATTCACTGTAGGTCCACTTTTTGGCATTTCGGTATTTTTCAGTGGACAGTTTAACTTATCTTACAAAAATATTTAATATAGGCCCCCTTTTTAGATAACGGTACCTCCCAAACAAATCAGTGATAATTTGATATTTCTTGTTCTCAGTGGATACCATAATTTCTCTCAAAAATATTCAATGTCGGCGTGGCCCTTATATTACGGAACTTACACATATTAGGGATTTTGAGAAAAGTCTATTTGTCAATACATTTAATATACTGTACGTTTCCTAACATTGATTCTGAAAACACTTTGTTTTTATTTTTCGAAACAAAAAATCAATACACAAAATTGGCAAATGTCGGCCTCAATTAGAAAAAAAATTGTGCCTTTTTATTGCACCTTGGCATGGAGGCTATATTGGGTTTGTCATTCTGTTTGTAAAACCTCAAAAAATATATTTTAGACCCCACAATGTAAATACATGGTAAGTTGAAAAAACTGCAAACAACTTCAGACTGCTGTCATTTCTAAGCCACTCGTCCGACAGCTGTTAAAATTATTCAAGTGACAGCTTATTATATTGTTTACAAGCTTACAAAAGCATTTTGGTGAGAGTTTTCCAGAAAAAAAGTTATTCGTGACGGAATTCAAGCGTGATAGTGAGATTTCTTTATATTTGGCGGGAAAACCACAAGTGGCTATCGTTAAAGCACTCCAGCATTTAAATGTTAATAAAACTGTTGTATCTCGTACCATTGCTCGTTGCAGTGATACTGGTAGCGTAGCCCGATGTCAAGGAAGTGGACAGCAGAAAACAGCAACATCAGCAGGAATTGTTGGAAAAGTAAAGAAGCGACTTGATCGAAACCCGCGTCGCAGTAGCCGAAAAATGGCTCTTGAGCTGAATATATTGCAATATTCCATTCGGCAAATATTGAAAAATGAGCTAGGGGTAAAGTTATTGAAATTCAAAAAAGTGCAATAACTTACACCGCAACAGAAAGAAAATATACTCAATAGGGCTAAAGAGTTGCTTCGCTTGGCCACAAGTGATGAACTGCCGAATTTGGTTTTCTCCGATGAGAAAACATTCGTAGTCCAGCAGTTTGTAAGCAAACAAAATGACCGTATGTACTTGCCAAAGAGGTCAGTTGAAAATGTGCACCAGAACTCAAGCGCCGGCATGGTGATGGTGTGGGCCGCCATAGCAGTAAATGGCCGCTCTCTGCTCGTATTAGTCGACCGTGGCATTGGAATAAATGACGAATATTATTATTATTATTATTCAGGAGGATGTATTAAAGCCTTGGGCACGCAAACATTTTGGCCGGAGACCTTGGACATTCCAACAGGACTCAGCACCATCGCACTCAGCACACTCCACCCAAGAATGCGCACAATGGCCACCAAAACCTCCGGATATCAATCCGTTGGACTATTGCGTCTGGAGAGTTTTGGGAAGCAAGGGTGCCACTAAAAAATACCAAAGTGTCGATCACCTCAAGCAAGCGCTTCGCCGGGAATGGACCTAAATACCGCAGAACAACATCCGGGCAGCGTGTGACGGTTTCATTGGCCTTTTGAAGGCCATAATTCGTGCTGAAGGTGAGCAATTTCAACAAATCTAAACTTATTCTAAAATTTGATGCTATTTCCGACAATTTTTGCTTTTATTAAAAACAAGTAAGCAAAGGCTATAGTCGTACGGGCCGACCATGTGATACCCTACAACACTACAATATGTCCGAATCCATTTTGAAATATTTCGCTTTTGAAATTATTCCATGACAGATATTACCCTTATCGTTTTGACCAGGGATATTTGCCCAATATTTACGCTCTCCATCGTGCTGTTAGTATATACCAATGGTTATCCAAAATGCTAGAATTCTTCCCTGTTCTTAACTCTCTTCAATTGTGTGAGCAGGAATTTTTTTTTCTGTTTTTGGTTCATTTGAACCCCTAATTATTTTGCGATCAACTCCAAAAGCAAGAGGCCCGTCTGTATAACCAAATTTAGACTCATCTATATTATTTGCTTGTCTACGATATTTGGCTATATTCGTCAACGAAATCAGCATAAAAAAGCCAGAAGTTCATCTTTTTGGATTCAGCATGTAAGTTATATTCAGCGTTCGGTAGAATGGAAATGTTGGTATTTTTTTCACACAAAAGTAGTAGTTCATTTTACCCCATTGTTCTTAACTCTAACTTCTTGCGAGATTTCGTGTCATTTGGTTTCTATTTGAGACCTTTATAACGGCTGCAAAATCAGGAACATTTTTAGTTGTTGGTGCATTTCAACCCTTAAATATATATTGCGGACATTTTTAAAAACAAAAACCCTACCTTCCTACTAACCCTTCTGATCATAACCTTACCATTATGAAAATTATCGTAAGGATCGGACGGTAATTGCAATCTGTATAATAATATAATACCCCCAACCTGTGTGGTAAGGTTATTTGAAAATTCAAATGGAAAATATCGCATGCGATAAAAAATACGCTCAGAATTGAACTTTTCGTCTATTTGTCATTTCGCCGGAATTACAAATATTCGCGGTTTAATAGAAAATTTGACTTTTATTTAACACAAATGTTACGGTCTATTTCACCCATTAAATATTACCCGATGACCAACCACATTGGAAGGCTTCCGCCCAGCCCTAAACTCTAGCCCAATGCTAACTTTCGCGTAAATTAGTCTATAATTGTAGAGTTTTTGGTCCATTTCATACCTAGATCTACTCATGTCGGCGAGATAGGAAGATCCATCCACATTCCTATGTAGGAAACCAATATTTCGAAGTGTTACATAATTTTTTTTGCCCAATCAAACTTATAATACCTCCAACACATAGTGTTGTGGGGTAAAAAAACTCAAAAATATTCTAAAAATATTGTTCTAAAATTATTAGATTTTTTTAAGAAATCTTTACAGTCCCGCCAAATATTAATTTAAAAAGGAAATCAATGTGTAAATTAATATAACAAATATTAAATATATAGCAAAATTTATAACCGCAAAACTTGTTGAGTGCCAAGACGAGCATCGTCTCACCTTTGGCCAAACAATGAATGGTGATAACATTAATTAAATTTTATTGTCTCGTTTTACTGGTGGAGGAGAGGTGGGGGAGACGTTGTAAGCAATTTTGCCTTTTTTGTGTGTGAGAAGAGCACACACAAGTCACAACATTTTAATGAAATATGTGGCATTTCAAGCTGATACAAAAATGCTATAGCATACAACAAAAAACACATTTGAAAAAAAAAATTATAAAACTAAAATAAAAAACCAGTAAAGAAAGTCTTAAAGTCGGGCGGCGCCGACTTTATGATACCCTACACCACTTTGCTAATTAAGTAGAGCTCCACATAACAATTAAAAGTTTCTATAGGAGAATTCAATCATACACGCTATGATTATAATTATAATTTAAAGTTCAAAGGACTAAATTCGGAATTGTATTGCCCATTTGGTGCACAATTAACTTGAAATCGGATAAAGATATATATGGGAGTTATATCCAAATCTGAACCGATCTCGATAAACTTTGGCAACGATATTTCTGAGCTGTATTTGATATATTTCCCTGAATATCGTTGTTACAGAGTGCATATTACGGTTGTGGGTACCAAATATAACAAATCGGATGAATAATATATATGGAAGCTATAACTATATCTGAACCGATCTGAACCAAATTTGACATACTAGCTACTAGACTCAATTCGGTCGTAAGTGCCAAATTCCATCCCATTTGGACAAATATTAGACGTTTGGTGCACAATAAAAGGTAAATCGGACGATGTTATATATGGGAGCTATATCCAAATCTGAACCGATCTCGATAAAATTTAGCAAATGTATTTCTGAGCTGTATTTGATATATTTCCCCGAATATTGTTGTTGCATAGTGCATATTACGGTGGCGGTGGACAAAAATAACAAATCGGATGAACAATATATATGGGAGCTATAGCTATATCTGAACCGATTTCGATCAAATTTGGCATACATATTTTCAGGCCTAATATGGGTGTATGTGCAAAATTCCATACAATTCGGGCTGATAATACACGTTTGGTGCACAATAAAAGTCAAATCGGACGAAGATATATATGGGAGCTATATCCAAATTTTGACCGATTATCTCCAATTTCAATAGGGTTCGTCCTTAGGCCAAACAAAAGACCTTTGCTAAATTTCATCTGGATCGGGCAATAAATGCGACCTGTACTTTGTTTACAAAAATACATGGACAGACGGACGGACGGACGGACGGACAGACGGACGGACGGACAGACGGACGGACGGACATGCATAAATCGACTCAGAATGTGATTCTATGCAGATCATCAAAAGGAACTATGGGTCTATCTCGTTTCCTTCTGCCTGTTACAAACAAATGCACAAAGACATAATACCCTGACCACCTTGTGGTGTAGGGTATAATAAAACACGAATAAAATTTAGGGTCAAAAATTTAAAAGTTTTTTAACTATAAATACAAAGTGTTGGTTTGGGTAAAGACACAGTCTCATATTTGGTGTTTCTAGCAAATTAACTTAACAAAATGGTAAATAATTTGATATTGCATCTAAGGATTACGAGTGGAGAGCGGGCAATTCAAAACTAATAATTACTTTTTTTTTCCAATTTTCAGAAATTCTTCATTGTTGCCTTGGCTTTTGTGGCTTGCGCCTATGCCGATGTTTCGGAATTGGGTTACAACTATAACCAACATCATCATGCCCACCATGAACACCATGTTCATCATGAAGTGGCAGCTCAACCCCAAAATTCATACATTCCCCCCGCTCCCGTTGCTCCTGTTGCACCCGTCAACACTTATGTGCCACCAGCACCAGTAGCTCCCGTCAACACTTATGTGCCACCAGCACCAGTGGCTCCCGTCAACACCTATGTCCCACCAGCACCCGTAGCCCCCGCACCAGCTCCAGTTTCCCAACCCACCAACTCCTATGTCCCACCTGCACCCGTTGCCCCCGCACCAGCTCCAGTTTCCCAACCCACCAACACCTACATTCCCCCTGCACCCGTCTCCCCTGTCGAAGAAGTTGAACAAACCCCCTCTGACGGTTATCACTACAAGACTGCCCGCCGTGTTGTCTACAGACACCGTGCTTAAATGAATTTTCTATCGAAAAATTCACATCGTTTCGACGATTATTTCGTTAATGTTGAACATTATTTTGTTTTTAATAAAAAAGTACAAAAAGAATTATCCAAAAAAACAATAACAATTTATTTGAATGCATACAACCAATTACAATGCGAAAAAGTGCATTGAGTGGAGTTAACCAGAATAAAAAATACCAATTTTTAGACAAATCCGTGAAAAAATGTGACAAAAACCATCAAAATTCCGCATATCGGGAGGTACCATTATATGGGGGCTATACCAAATCGTGGACCTATACACACAATGTTTCGCCACCGCAGCCAGAACCAATTATGACCAACAAATACCAATTTTTAAACTAATCCGTGAAAAAATGTGACAAAACCAATAAAATTACCGAATATCTGGAGGTACCATTATATGGGAGCTATAACAAATCGTGGACCTTTGTATACAATGTTTTACCACTGGAGCTAGAACCCATTATGACAAACAAATACCAATTTTTAGACAAATCCATGAAAAAATGTGAAAAAAACATAAAAATACCGCATTTCGGAAGGTACCGTTATATCGACGGACCCATGTTTTTTTGGGCCCATTCCAATCGACAAGGCTTGTCCGCAGGTAACATTCTTTGCGTCAATTGAATTTTGTACGGGAACAAATGCAAATCAATGCGAATAATCCGTTGTAAAGTGGACCGAGCCATGCCCAACTGCTGAGAACGGCGTTTTTGGGATGTTCTTGGGGACCTCTCAACACTGGCTCGTACGGCAGCGATATTCTCGGCCGATCGCCTTGGTCGACTTTTATATGGCCTCTTCGGATTAGAAAGAGCCTTACCAGTCGAAAATTTTTCGTACAAACGCTTAATGGTGTTCTTAGAAGGCGCACTTCTCACATTTTTTAATGTTTTAAAAGCACGTTGAGTTTTCACAATTGACTTCTTCTGTTGAATGTAAATTTCAACTATTTCAGAGCGCTCGCGTGGCGTGTATTGGTTCATGGTAAAAATCTGCTTGGACTGACGCTTCAAACGCGGTATCTCATTAGGCGATGTGACATCTCTATCAAAAGTTATGGCGTTGCCAGATGGGTCCGTCGAATATGGGCAACCCTGTATACCAAAACGTGGACCGATATATGTCATTTTCAATACCAACCATCCTAGGCACAATACAAATTATTCTGCTAAATTTTTACGCTCTACGTCAAATAATGTGTTCAACAGACAGACAGACGGACATCGACGAATATATAGGAATGTTACAAACGGAATGACAAAGTTGAAATACCCTCCTTTCCAAGGTGGAGGGTATAAATAAGAGCGGGAGTTAACAAGAGTAACACAAGGTCTGCTGTTCATTCGATCTTCCCCACAAAGGGTAACATTTTGAATAACTATAACCCTTATACCGATGCGAATGAGTCAGCAGATTTCATCAAACTTCGAGTGTCTCAATATTTCTGTTTACCATGGATCCAAGAGATATTTCGAATCACTCCATCTGGTTAAACTTTAGACTATGGAATTTATATTAATAAACCCGTAACGAAGGTCAAAAGTCGGGCGGAGCCGACTATATGATACCCTATATTGGGAATTTATGTGAATAAGGTCATACCAACTATGAACCGCATTTCAGTCAGTCTTAAAAAATTGGGGAACTGCATCCAACACTGAATCGATTTTTAACAAATTTGACGGAGGCTTTTTTACCTCTAGTAGAATATTGCATTGATGTACAGTGTACGATATGACTTCGATAAGAATTATATTGAAAAAAATATTTATAGAAGTAATAGTTATACCGGACCGAGTGTCACAAGATGGAAAAATTCAGTTAAATATGGAAAAAATCTCGGGAATTTGATCAGATTATATATATATATGGCGGACAATAGCCGTAAAATCGAATGAAGATGTATTTCAAAGGTATGTAAAAATTTTACCCGATCTCGATAAAATTTGAGTTTCACCAAAATCTGAAGTACTTACTTCTGGGCTGAATTTGGTGGGAAGTGCCAAAATGAAGTACATTTGGGCTGAAATTAGCCATTTGGTGCACAATAAATCTGAAATCGGATAAATATATATGGGAGCTATATAGCAAATCTGATCCGATCTCGACAGAGGTTTTATCCCAAATCGGATAAAACATATATATGGGAGCTATAGCTATATCTGAATCTATCTTCTCCGAATTCGATGTTTAGCTTTTAGACTCAATTCGTTCGGATATGCCAAAAAAAAAAAAAATATCTTTATGTTGATATTGGCCATTTGGTGCACTATTAAACTAAAATCGGTTGAAGATATATATAGGAGCAATATCCAAATCTGAACCGATGTCTATAAAATTTGGCAGTATCAAATATAAATTTCAACGCAATCAGACAATAAATGCAACCTGTACCTTATTAACAAAAATATATGGACAGACGGACGGAAATGTATAAATAGGCTCAGAATGTGATTCGAATTGAGATTGAAGGATAAAATTTTGCACACATGTGTACAAGTTATGTCGGTCCACGCTTATATTTAGTTTTTTATACCCTACACCACATAGTGGTAAGGGTATTATGTCTTTGTGCATTTGTTTGTAACATGGAGAAGGAAACGAGATAGACCCATAGTTACTTTTGAGAACCTTCATAGAATCACTTTCTGAGTCGATTTATGCATGTCCGTCCGTCTGTCCGTCCGTCCGTCCGTCCGTCCGTCCGTCCGTCCGTCCGTCCGTCCGTCTGTCCATGTATTCTTGTGAACAAAATGCAGGTCGCATTTATTATCCGATTGAGATGAAATTTTCCAAACAATATTTTTTTGGCCCAAGGACGAACCCTATTGAAATTGGTGAGAATCGGATCAAATTTAGATATAGCTCCCATATATATCTTCATCCGATTTCGGGTTAAATGTGCACCAAATGTCCACTATCAGTCCAAATTACCTGAATTTTGGCACACCCAACCGAGTTCGGCCTAGAAGCAAGTATATCAAATTTGGATAAAATCGGTTCAGATATAGCTATAGCTCCCATATATATCTTTCATCCGATTTGATCTTTAAGTCCCTCACATTCCTACTATGCACTCCACAACCGTGATATTTGGTACCAGGTATTAGATGGAGCACAGAAATAGCTGTTTTAAATTTTATCGAAATCGGTTCAGATTTGGATATAGCTCCCATATATATCTTCATCCGATTTCGGGTTAAATGTGCACCAAATGTCCTCTATCAGTCCAAATTACCTGAATTTTGGCACACCCAACCGAGTTCGGCCTAGAAGCAAGTATATCAAATTTGGAGAAAATCGGTTCAGATATAGCTATAGCTCCCATATATATCTTTCATCTGATTTGATCTTTAAGTCCCTCACATTCCTACTATGCACTCCACAACCGTGATATTTGGTACCAGGTATTAGATGGAGCACAGAAATAGCTGTTTTAAATTTTATCGAAATCGGTTCAGATTTGGATATAGCTCCCATATATATCTTCATCCGATTTCGCGTAAATTGACCACCAAATGGCCAATATCAGCCCAAATGGCCCGAATTTTGGCACATGTGACCGAGATTAGCCTCAAAGCAAATACAACAAATTTGGAGAAAATCGGTTCAGATATAGCTATAGCTCCCATATATATCTTTCATCCGATTTGATCTTTAAGTCCCTCACATTCCTACTATGCACTCCACAACCGTGATATTTGGTACCAGGTATTAGATGGAGCACAGAAATAGCTGTTTTAAATTTTATCGAAATCGGTTCAGATTTGGATATAGCTCCCATATATACCTTCATCCGATTTCGGGTTAAATGTGCACCAAATGTCCACTATCAGTCCAAATTACCTGAATTTTGGCACAAACAACCGAGTTCGGCCTAGAAGCAAGTTTATCAAATTTGGAGAAAATCGGTTCAGATATAGCTATAGCTCCCATATATATCTTTCATCCGATTTGATCTTTAAGTCCCTCATATTCCTACTATGCACTCCACAACCGTGATATTTGTTACCAGGTATTAGATGGAGCACAGAAATAGCTGTTTTAAATTTTATCGAAATCGGTTCAGATTTGGATATAGCTCCCATATATATCTTCATCCGATTTCGGGTTAATTGACCACCAAATGGCCAATATCAGCCCAAATGGCCCGAATTTTGGCACATATGACCGAGATTAGCCTTAAAGCAAATACAACAAATTTGGAGAAAATCGGTTCAGAAACAGCTATAGCTCCCATATATGTTTCATCCGATTTAGTGTTTTGGTCCCTTACATTCGTAATATTCACTCCACAACCGTGATATTTGGTACCAGGTATTAGATGGAGCACAGGAATAGCTGTTTTAAATTTTATCGAAATCGGTTCAGATTTGGATATAGCTCCCATATATCTTCATCCGATTTCGGGTGATTGACCACCAAATGGCCGTAATAGCATCAATTTTGGCAAATCCGACCGAAACCAGCTTAGAAGCAAGTACACCAATTTTAGTAAAAATCGGTGCAGATATAGCTATAGCTCCCATATATATCTTTCATCCGATTTGGTCTTTAAGTCTCTCACATTCGTAATATGCACTCCACAGAAATGATATTTGGTACCAGATATCAGATAAAGCCCAAAAACAGTTGATTTTAATTCTATTAAAATCTGTTCCGATTTGGATATGCCTCCCATATATATCTTCATCCGATTTCGTGTTAATTGTGCACCAAATGGCCAATATCAGCCCAAATCACCTTAATTTTCGTACATAAGACCGAATTCAGTCTAGAAGCTAATACGTCAAATTTAGAGAAACCCGGTTCAGAGATAGCTATAGTTCGTAAAATGCACGATAGGATTAGATAGATTTTGATTTTGTACCAAATATCTCATAGAGCTCTGAAATGCCCTGTATAAACCTTTTTACGAGAGCTCTACTAAATATGCATAGTGGTGTAGGGTATCATATAGTCGGCCCCGTCCGACTTTTGAGCTTTCCTTACTGGTTTTTTTTTTTTTTTTTTTTTTTTTTTTTGTACCGGATTTTTTCAATTTTCGCATTTAAAGTCGCAATAGGTACTACAGCCTATAACAAAAACCGCGTATGCAGGTCCATGTCTTCGTAAAACCCCCGTATAATGATACCTCACGATATTCGGTATTTTGATAATTTTGGCGGCATTTTGCATCGGAATTGTTTCAAATTTCGTATTAAATGGGTACTACAGCCTGTGACAAAGAATTACACATGCAGGTCCAAGTCTTCGTATAACCCCCATATAACGCTACCTCCCAATATTCGGTATTTTTATGATTTTACCGACATTATTCACCGGAATTGCATAAAGTTTCGTATTTGAAGTTCGGAAACGGTGCTGCAGCCTATGACTGGAAATTTCTTATGAAGGACCTCGTCTTTGTTTAGGCCCCATATAAGGGGTATCATTTGAGTGGTATTTTTTATACCCTCCACTATAGTATGGAGTGTATAAGAGGTTTGTCATTCCGTTTTTTAACACCTCGAAACATACATTTTAGTGATGTCCGCCAGTCTGTAGAAATCACTCTAGCTTCCAAACTAAATGAAGTAGGTTAAAAAAACTTTATATTATGTCTGCAGGACTTTTGGTATGGAAAATGGGCTTTGTAGGTCCACGTTTTGGTATAGACCCCATATAACGGTACCTCCCAATTTTCGGTATTTTGGTGATTTAAGCGACTATATTCACCGATTTTTTCCAAGTTTCGCTTTTGAATATTATAATGGCTTTTGATAAAAATTGCCTATGCAGGTTCATGTCATCGTTCGGTATTTTTTAATATTTTAGCAGATTCGTTCCGATATTAAAAGTTCGGCCCGACCAAACTTGTTACATTTTTTTTTTTTTTTTTTTTTTTTGGTGTGGCAATTGCAGTTTTAACGAGTAAACAAAGGCTATAGCCGTGCGGGGCCGACTATGTGATACGCTACAACACTGCAATATGATAGAAGTCCCTTTATATCCAAATCCATTTTAGAAGATTTCGCGTTTGAAATTATGTCATAGAGTTCTGCCCTTAGCGTTTTGACTGTGGACATTTGCCCAATATTTACGAACTCCGTCGTGCTGTTAGTTACAGCTAAATATAATCCAATAGTCATCCAAAATGCTAGACATCTTCCCTGTCTTTAACTCCCTTCTCATGTAAATTTCCGTGCCGATTGATATCAATTGTGTGATCAGGAAAATTGTTTTCTTTTTGGTTCATTTGAACCCCTAAATATTTTTCAAGAGGCTCCTCTGTATCTCAAAATTCAGACTCATCTATATGATTTGCTTGTCTTTGATATTTGGCTATATTCGTCAACAAAATCAGCATAAAAAAGCCACAGGTTCGCCTTTTGTGTATTTCGGATATCGCCTGTAAGTATGTTGGTATTTTATCACACAAAGGTTGGACCACTCCAAACGCTGTCCTAAACTCTAACTTCTTGCGAGATTTCGTGTCCTTTGGTTTCTATTTGCGACCTTTATAACGGCTGCGAAATCAGAAACATTTTTAGTTGTTGGTCCCTTTCCTCCCCTAAATATATTGCGAACATCTTTGAAAACAATAGGCCTAGCCCTTCTGAGCCTAACCCTAGCCTTGTGCAAATTTAAGTGAGGATCGGGCGATAATTGCAATCTGTACATAATAATGCCAACCTGTGTTGTGAGATAAAAACAAAGTTTGTCAAAATCGGTCAGGCCATTCTTGGGATATAAGCATTCTAGATAACATCCCCTTCCTTTGTATATATGCATTATATATATTTCGCTATATATATATCCAATATATTTACTATCAGCATCTACGTAACGGTCAGAATTGACCTGATCGTCTATTTGTGATTTCGCCAGGATTAAAAATAATCCGGGTTTAATGGAAAATGTCACTTCTATTTAACACAAATATTATGGTCTACTTCGTCCACTAAATATTACCAAATGACCATCCTAATTGGAAGGCTTCTGCCCAGCCCTAAACTCTAGCCCCATGCAAACTTCGGCGTCGATTGGTCTATAATTGCGACATGTAGAACAACTGCAAAATCATGACTTTTCCGGTTTTTGGTCCATTTCAACCACTAAATATTATGCGATCATCTCCAAAAGCAATAAGCTTCTATTCTGGCTCTAGCCCCACCTTCATTATTAATTTTTATGGGACAGTTTTGCATATTTCGTTTTCGGTATTTTGTAATAAAAACCTGAGATATCCGAAAGAATTTTTTTTAGAAAAATCAGACAGATTTGTAATTTTGGAATTTCAAATAGTTTTGTGCTTATTTTATTCAAATCTCGAAAAAAATACCTCTAGCAGAATTGAAATTTTCAGCTTTAATATAATTTTTATTTTTTTTTTTTTCGTTATCTCATCCTTAAATAAACAATATTTCTTAAAAATACGAGAATTATATTTTCGGAATTAAAAAAAAATAAACAAAACTTTACTATTACCATTCTACTAAATATCTCTAATCTGATTAGTAATTTCTTAATTTGGATAAAAAAATATTTGTTTTAGGAAGATTCTTGTAATTTCTCTAAAACTGCAGATATAGAGATGCGGCAAATTGTTCATTAAAACCGAATGAATTCCACACTTTCGCACTAACTTTTTCAAAACAAAATTCCGAATTTTTCGGAAATGTTTTCAGGAAACCATAAAAAATTTGCGGCAGCAGAGGCAAATTATGCTACATATTGATATCGATTAAATCCAATTCACTTGGGCGAATATTAGAGATCACGCCCATCAGACGACATAGACGATTTTTTTTCTTCAGGAAACAAATTCAATTTATATCGGAAACCATCCTACCTAATCTATAAGGGAACTAGTACTGTTCTATCCGCTTTGCTCTTTTTCCTATGGCCACTCCAGACGCGACTGAACATACCTCAGGCTGAAAGATAACTATTTTAGTTTCTTCAGGAATCAAATTCAATTTAAATCGGGAAACCATCCATCTAATCTATAAGGGAACTAGTGCTGTTCTGTCCGCTTTGTTCTTTTTGTTATGGCCACTCTAGACGCAACTGAACACACCCCAGGCTGAAAGATAACTATTTTAGAGGGGGTTTCTTTTTCCAAATCCATATTTATAAATTAGATCAAGTCATTTAGCATAACTACTATTTAGAATATCTAACATAAAAATATATTAGGAGATAATAAAATCGTGAATTTTACTTGAAAATTATTCGTTGATATTTTTATAGCCGAGAATTTTGTAACTTATTTACTCGTATTTCATAAAATATATATAAAAAAATTACAAATATTACAAAAAATTATTAGATTTTTTCCAAGGAAATCTTTACAGCCCCGCCAAATATTAATTGAAAACGGAAATCAATGTGCAAATTAATATAGCAAATATTAATATATAACAAAATTTATTACCGCAAAACTTGTTGAGTGCCAAGACGAGCATCGTCTCACCTTTGGCCAAACAACGAATGGTGATAATATCAATTAAATTTTATGATCTCGTTTTGCTGGTGGAGGAGGGTTGACGTTTTAAACAATATTGGCTTTTTTTTGTGTGTGAGAAGAGTACACACAAGTCACAACATGTTAATGAAATATGTAGCATTTCAAGCTGCTACAAAAATGCTATAGCATACAACAAGAAGCACATTTGGAAATAAAACTAAAATAAAAACAAAATTTTATTTTAGGGTCAAAAAATTTTAAATTTTTTAACTATAAATACAATGTGTTGTTTGGGTAAAGATACAGTCTCGCATTTGGTGTTTCTAGCGAATCTATAAAAAAAATAACTTAACAAAATGGTAAATAATTTAAAAACGGATATTGCATATTCAATTAAGGATACGTGTGGAGAGAGGGCAATTCAAAACTAATAATTACTTTTTTCCAATTTCTAGAAATTCTTCATTGTTGCCTTGGCTTTTGTGGCTTGCGCCTATGCCGATGTTTCGGAATTGGGTTACAACTATAACCAACAACATCATGCCCACCATGAACACCATGTTCATCATGAAGTGGCAGCTCAACCCCAAAATTCATACATTCCTCCCGCACCCGTTGCTCCAGTTGCTCCCGTCAACACGTATGTGCCACCAGCACCAGTAGCTCCCGTCAACACTTATGTGCCACCAGCACCTGTGGCTCCCGTCAACACCTATGTCCCACCAGCACCCGTAGCCCCCTCTTTACCACAGGTACAAATTCATCCTGGACCCGCCCCTGTTGTTCACGAACCCGTCAACACCTACATTCCTCCAGCATCCGTCAATCCCGTCGAAGAAATCGTACAAACCCCCTCTGACGGTTATCACTACAAGACTGCCCGCCGTGTTGTCTACAGACACCGTGCTTAAATGAATTTTCTATCTAAAAATTCACATCGTTTCGACGATTATTTCGTTAAATGTTGAACATTATTTTTTTTTAATAAAAAGTACAAAAATAGTTTACAAAAAAAAAAAAACAACAATTTATTTGAATGCATACAACCAATTCGAAGTGCAAAGATCGCGTCTCGCGACTGAAAAATAGTCCTGGCGTGAGTCCTCGAAGAGTACAAGTTCTACAAGAAGATTACACCACACTCTTTAATTTTATGTGATAGTGTTCGCGAAAAATAAGAGCAGGAGATAAAATGTTCTAAATAGAGCAAAATTTTAATCTAAGAGTAAAATCGAGTGGAAAAATTATTCGAAAGCTCGCATATGACGGTGCCTCCATGTTCTAGATATTTTGAAGATTTTACTCTATTTTACAATGTAATTTTCTTTCCGTTTCCTGGAAGTCTTCACTCGCACAACAAATCGAAATTCTATCTTCCCCACAAAGGGTAACATTTTGAATACCTATAACCCTTATACCCATGCGTAGAGATCAGCGCTTTTCATCAAACTTCGTGTGTCATAATATTTCTGTTTAAAATGAATCTAGGATATATTCGGACCACTCCATCTGGTTAAACTTTTGACTAAAAATTGTTTCTATGGAATTCATATTAATAAACCGTAAAAAAGGTCAAAGATCGGCAGAGTCGACTATATGATACCCTACACCACTATGCGTATTTAGTGGAGCTCTCGTAACAAAAAAGTTTATATTGGGAATTTATGGTCATACCAACTATGAACCGCATTTCAGTCAGTCACAATTTGGGAACTACATCCAACACTGAATCGATTTTTAACAATTGACGGAGACTTTTGTACCTCTAGTAGAATATGGCTTTGCTGTACAATGTACGATATGACTTCGATAAAGGTTATATTGAAAAATATTTATTGGAGCAATACCGGTCCGAGTTTCAAAAAATTCAGTTAAATATGGAAAAATCTATCTAATTTGAGGAGATAATACATATATGGCGAGCAATAGCCGTAAAATCGAATGAAGGTATATTTCGAAGGTATATAAAAATTTTAAGCGATCTCGATTAAATTTGGCATAGGTAATTTAGAGCTGTAGCTGATGCCCGATATAAAATATCATTGATGTGGAGTGCATATTAACGCATGTGAGGGACTAAAACACCAAATCGGATGAAACAAATACATCGGAGCTATATTGGAGCAAAATTTGATGTACTTGCATCTGGGGTGAATTCCGTCGGAAGTTCCAAAATTCAGTCAATTTGGGCCAATATCAGACATTTGATGCACAAAATACCTGAAATCGGAAAAAGATATATGGTAGCTACATCCAAATCTGAACCGATCTCGATAATATTTGACAGAGGTATATGTGGTACCAAATATTATTGTTGTCGAATGCATATTACGAATATGAGGGACCCAATGTATATGTATGGTATCTGTATCTGTATCTGATATCTGGTATCAAAGATATTTTTTGTGGAGTACATATTACGCATGTAGGGGACTTAAACCCCCAAATCGGATGAAACAAATATATCTATGGGAGCTATAGCTATATCTGAATCGATTTACGGCAAAATTGCCGGAATTGCCAAAATTCAGTTTATTTGGGCTGATATAAGCCATTTGGGGCACAACAAACCTGAAATCGGACGAAGATATATATGGGAGCTATATCCAAATCCGAAATTTTGGGCACTTATTTGTGAGTTGGATCTGATATCTGTTTCCAAAGACCATTGTTGTGGAGTGCATATTTCGCACGTGAGGGACTTAAAATCCCAAATCGGGTGGAACATTTGTATGGAAGTTATATCTAAACCGATTTTCACAAAATTTGAAGTACTTATTGCTACGTTGAATTCAGTCGTAATTGCCAAGATCCAAATCTGGTCCGATGTAGATGAAATTTGGGATAGGTATTTCTGGGCTGACATCTGCTACCAAATATTGTTACTGTGGAGTTCATATTACGCTTGTGAGGGACTTAAAACTTCAAATCGGATGAAACATATATAAGGGACCTATATTTAAACGGTTTTCATCAAATTTAAAATATTTGCTTCTAAACCGAATTCCGACGGATGTACTAAAATTAAGGTCATTTGGACTGATATTGGCCATTTGGTGCGCAATTAACCCAAAATCGGTTGAAGATATATTTGGGAGCTTTATCTAACTTTAAATCGATTACCACCAATTCCAATAGGGTTCGTCCTTGGGCCAAACAAGTATTGTTTGGAAAATTTCATCTCAATCGGATAATAAATGCCACCTGCATCTTGTTCACAAAAATACATACGGACTTGCATAAATCGACTCATTAAGTGATTCTATGAAGATCCATAAATCGGCTCATAAAGTGATTCCATGAAGCTCCTCAAAAGTAACTGTGAGTCCATCTCGCTTTCTTCTCCATGTTACAAACAAATGCACAAAGACATAATACCCTTCCACTATGTGGTGTAGGGTATACAAATGATGGGTTTCGTAGGTTGGTTTGTAAGTAGAATGCTAAAAACTTATTAGGAAACTTATTATTTGAACAACATATAACAACACCTCCAGGTTTTAAATACAGTTTTTCATTGTAGACCTTACTCACACCAAAAATCAAAGCCGATTCGATATTAACGATCCCGCGAAATTTTAAATATTTTAAATAAGGAAAAACCTTAAGTAGAATATTTCTAAAAAAATATCCCAAAATATTAAATACTCCATTGAATTTCCATTTCGTTCTCGTTCAAAAAATTTAACAGTAATTTCAAATTTTGTACAACATCAATATCAGTTAATAATTTCAATTTCCTTCTTCTTCAGCTTCTTAAATTTTAATCCATTGACCTAAATTTCCCATTTTCCTTCCTTACTTTCGATATTTCTTTCAACGAAAAATTAATGCACTTCCACCATGGCAATTTTTGCCCCATAAAATAATTCAAGCCTGAAATGGTCACTTTGAAAATAATATTCGTGGAAAATTGGCAAAATAAATCCGATGAAGCTACGTTCGTATCTGAACCTATAATAAAACAAGTATGTATTGTATGAAGGATACCCATGTACTTAGGTGCCATAAAATTCATGTAGTAACAAACATCCTTGGTCTTAAGCACTCACACACACCGCCATAAGTTTGATTACCCTGCTGGGATAGTTGAGTTACTGTTTGTATTAAATTACCTCTTCGAACAGATTTATATTTATAAGTTGAATTTTTATTGGTGGAGTTGGTGGTGGGGTAGATGTTGTGTGTTAGTGCCACTGTAATTTTATTTTGGGCTGTTCGAAGAGTATAAATACTTAAATTGACCTGGCCTTCAACACTGTTCGTTTCATGTGGGCTTATGAGCTGGCAAGGAGCAGCAACAAAATATTGATAATATCAAAAGGGCACACAGAGCACGAGTATCAATGTGTGGGCATGTGTTATACACCGGGAGAAATTGTGGGGCCTTTAATGTGGGGAATTCAATGAAAAAAATATTTTTCAAAGATCTTACAATTTATACGAATTTGTAGTCAAACTCAAAATTTTTAAAATAAACTGTTAGAAAAACACTGTTATTAATTTTTTTCTGAGTGTATCTTTACTCGGTGTTATGACGCCCGGTGTTTTAATAACAATTATTAATCGCACGGATCAACCGACTCACACACAAGTGCTTCAATATGACCTGCATAGTACCATTATGGCTTGTTCATGAAAATATTAAGGTAGTTGCCGCTACCTTGCCCATACACATACATGTGTAAGTATGTAAATCGAAAATATTATTATTGACATTTTTTACTATATAAGTGTGAATTACCTGAACTCCAGCTGGGCTCATGAAATGTACACTCGAAACCGTAATATACTACAAACAAACTAATGATTCATCGCAAAGTATTTTTGCACTGGCACAGTGGCAGAGACTCAAGGATTATTTTGGTCAGAAATTTTAACCCTCAAGCGAGTCACGAAAGGGGTCAGTTTTGTCCTTTTTTTTTTTTTTTTTTCAAATTTTGATTAAAAACTCAAAATAGGATGACGTCAAAGAAAAAAATATTTTCCATCAAATTTCACTATTAGTCACCGAAGAAACGAAATCTCCATTTCAATTATAAAATACGAAAACGTTTGCTTCAGTGTTGCCAAAAAACAAGTAAACAAGCTGTAAGGTCGACCGGGGCGAACTTTGAATACTCTCGAAAATTTGGAACGAATTTGGCAATTTTTAAAAAACTAAAATCCGCTAAAATTCTGCTTAAATCTTAAAAATACCGAATGTAGCCACTATATATTAGGATCTATACGACGACGTGGACCTGCATAGACAACTCTTGTCATAAGCCATTACAATATTCAAATGCGAAACTAAAAAAATCGGTGAATACTGTAGCTAAAATCATCAAAATACCGAATATAGGGAAGTACTATTATATGGGGGGCTACACCAAAACATGGACCTGCACAGAAAATTTTCTGTCATAGGCTGCAGTATCCATTATGAACTTGAAATACCTAATTTGAAACAATTCCGGTGAAAAATGTCGCTAAAAGCATCAAAATACCGAATATCGGGAGGTACTGTTATATAGGGGCTATACGAAGACGTGGACCTGCACAAAAAATATTCTGTCATAGTCTTTAGTATCCATTAGGAACTTCAAATACCAAATTTGAAAGTGAATAATGTGAATAATGTAGCTAAAATCATCAAAGTACCCAGTATAGGGAGGTACAGATATATGGGGACTATACGAAGACCTCGACCTGCATAGACAATTTTCTGTCATAGACTGTAGTACCTATTGGGAACATAAAATATGAAATTTGAAACGATTTCGGTGAATAGTTTCGCTGAAATCGTCAAAAAACCCAATTATCGGAGGTAAAGTTATATGGGGGCTATACCTGAACATGGGCCTATACAGGGAGAGATAAAAAACTGCAACAATGTGAAACACTGTAATTTTTACATTTTTATACCCTACAACACTATGTGTTGGGG